ATCATGATTTGACTAGTTTGGTGTGGAGGAACTCGTGTTCTACGCAGAGAGCTGACCTCAACCCCACTGAACACCTTCGGGATGTAACGTCAAGTGTGAGCCAGGTCTTCTCATCCAACGGGAGTACCTGGTGACATCACAAATGGGCACAAATCCCACAGACAACTCCAAAATCTTGGGGAAAGTTTTCCCAGAAGAGAGGAGGATGTTATAATCAAAAGGTAGTGGCAACTCCATAAAGGCACGGCTTGACCAGTTTGGTGTGGAGGAACTCGAGTGTCCTGCGCAGACCCCTGACCTCAACCTTAATCAGCACCTTTGGGATGTAATGCCAATTGTGAGCCAGGTCTTCTCTGCCAACATCGACGATCTCACAAATGGGAACGAATTCCCACAGACACACTCCCAAAATTTTGGGGAAAGTTTTCCCAGAAATGAGGAGGATGTTATAATCAAAGGGTAGGGGCAACTTCATAAAGACAAGGCTTGCCCAGTTTGGTGTGGAGGAACTCGAGTGTCCTGTGCAGACCCCTGACCTCAACTGAACACCTACGGTGAGCCACATCAGTACCTGACTAATTTGGAATAAATTGGAATGCCCTCCTTGCCCCATGTCCATTAATATAGTATCGCCTCCCTCTTTGGAGCTATAGCATCCCTCTACTCTACTGGCAAGACTTTCCACAAGGTTGTTATAGCTCCAAAGAGGGAGGCGATTCCATACTAATGGACATGGGGCAAGGAGGGCAGTTCCATGTCAATGGCTATGGTGGGCAGCTTCAGGTTTACAACCATGATTTTGGACTGACATCCTCCATAACCTTGGGGAAAGTCTTCTCAGAAGACTAGAGGATATGGAGGATGTCATTCCAAAATCATGGTTGCAAACCTGAAGCTGCCCACCATAGCCAAAGACATGGAACTGCCCTCCTTGTCCCATGTCCCATTAATCTCCAAAGAGGGAGGCGATTTCATAACAACCTTGTGGACAGTCTTCCCAGAAGACTAGAGGATGTTATAGCTTCAAAGAGGGAGGCGATTTTCATATTATTAATGGACATGGGGCAAGGAGGGCTGTTCCATGTCAATGGCTATGGTGGGCAGCTTCAGGTTTACAACCATGATTTTGGAATGACATCCTCCATATCCACTAGTCTTCTGGGAAGACATTCCACAGGTTGTGGAGGATGTCATTCCAAAATCATGGTTGCAAACCTGAAGCTGCCCACCATAGCCATCGACATGGAACTGCCCTCCTTGCGCCATGCCTATTCCTATGGAATCGCCTCCCTCTTTGGAGCTATAACATTCTCTAGTCTTCTGGGAAGACTGTCCACAAGGTTGTTATAGCTCCAAAGAGGGAGGCGATTCCATATTAATAGGCATGGGGCAAGGAGGGCAGTTCCATGTCAATGGCTATGGTGGGCAGCTTCAGGTTTACAACCATGATTTTGGAATGACATCCTTCCTCCATATCATCTAGTCTTCTGGGAAGACTTTCCACAAGGTTATGGAGGATGTCATTCCAAAATCATGGTTGCAAACCTGAAGCTGCCCACCATAGCCAATGACATGGAACTGCCCTCCTTGTCCCATGTCCATTAATATATCTCCAAAGAGGGAGGCGATTTCATAACAACCTTGTGGACAGTCTTCCCAGAAGACTAGAGGATGTTATAGCTTCAAAGAGGGAGGCGATTTCATATTAATGGATATGGGGCAAGGAGGGCAGTTCCATGTCATTGGCTATGGTGGGCAGCTTCAGGTTTACAACCATGATTTTGGAATGACATCCTCCATATCCTCTAGTCTTCTGGGAAGACTTTCCACAAGGTTGTTATAGCTCCAAAGAGGGAGGCGATTCCAGATTAATGGACATGGGGCAAAGGAGGGCAGTTCCATGTCATTGGCTATGCTGGGCAGCTTCAGGTTTACAACCATGATTTTGGAATGACATCCTCCATAACCTTGTGGACAGTCTTCCCAGAAGACTAGAGGATGTTATATCTTCAAAGAGGGAGGCAATTCCATATTAATAGGCATGGGGCAAGGGGGGCAAGGAGGGCAGTTCCATGTCAATGGCTATGGTGGCAGCTTCAGGTTTACAACCATGATTTTGGAATGGGATGTCCAACAAGCTGATGAAAGCCTGAACTGCCAACGCCATTTGCCTTTGCATGCTGAGCCTTTGTGTACCCCAGGTCCTTCACTGTCCTCCTTCCATCCTCTCTCCATCTCCTATAAAACGTCCCTTTTTAGTTACACTACTTTCAGAAGATGGAAGTTAGGAGTACATACCTGGACGCATGCTTGGGCCGGATCAGTATTGGCGTGGACCTGACATAACATTAGTTGTAGAAAGTGAGATGCCCATAGACACCATCTCTGCACCTCTCCCGGGGACGGCATTCTGCACACACTGCATCTTCTTCTGATCTATTTATGTGCGCTGTGGAAGGAAGGAAACATCAGGGGAATACAGATAATCCAATGTATGTGAACACATGGCAGGCGGGGGTTTTCACAGCACTTGTTCAAAACAAAAGTCAGTTGCAGAAACGACACGAGGAAGATCAAGCTGACATATTTAAGTGATACAAAAACCATAGAAATAGGTCACCAAACCCAATACAACAACATTTAAAAAATAATACTTCCCTTCATAAGTGGCCATCCGAATACTTTTGAGTTTGGAATGTGAATTCTGATATATTCTGGATTTCATTTCCTTTTATGAGAATGGCTGTGCTGGTTTTACATGGCCACCCTCCTTGGCGTGTGTTCATGAGAAGGACAATATTCCTATGTACCAACCAACGCATGCTGGATTGGATTATGTATCCCGTACTCATTCACATAGGATCGGGAGAAGTATCTGGGGGGGCCCCCTATTATTGAAGGGGGCATCCAGATTTCAATAAATTCCCCCACCTACAGCACCCCACAACCACCAGGCAATTGTTGTGGGGAAGAGACCCTTGTCCTCATCAATGTGGGGACAAGGGCTTTTCCAGGAGGGGACCCCCATGTTGAGGGTATGTGGTTTGGTATGGTTCAAGATTTGGGAGGGAAGGGACGGGGATGGAATGCACGCTTAAGCCAGGCTGCATGCAGTTCAAAGGTCTGGTATGGATTTTGAGGGGGATCTCACACTTTTTTGTTGTGTGGAGCCCCCCTTAAGATAGGTAACCATTTGGGGAGTAGGAAGTATGGCCTGGAGATGTTTGATCCAGATCTTCAGGATGATTTTGGTGATGTCCTACCAAAGGGTTGAAGGAAATATAGGAGTTCTGGGCATAATGGTGGGATTTTCAGTTCCACAAAAGGTGGGGAAAAGCTGAAGTTGCAAAAGACCTGTTTTATAATTAGAAACAATCTGTAGCATACTTATAGTAAGTCGTCCTCTCGCAGGCCAGCAAACATTGCCTACTTTTTGTGTTTTGGCTCTGCTCCTCTTTGTTGGTTTCTCTGTAAAGAATGAGTTGAGGATCCAATAGGTTATTCAGAGAGAAGTAGTACAGTAGTTGCTTTGACACCTGTGTGAGGAACCTCAGGGCGGCCATGCTTCTTCTCATGCACTTGCTCATACTCCTGAGTATAGATGTGTAATTGGACTTGCGAGAATGAGAGAGTGCATGCAACAGCGCACATGTGGATGCACAGGCGTGCCCATGGATCCTGGCACCTAGCAGCCTTCTTAAACCAGAGGCCTGCCCAGTATCATTGCTGGATGGTCTTCAGCTTTACCCTTGTGACTTGTGTTCATGAAAGCTTGCTTAATCCTGTTACTGACCGAACTCCATCTGACTATTCTTTGGATTGCCCCTGCCTGTTTATGTCTTCCACTGATCCGCATTGCTGACCCCAGGCTGGACTTTTGACTAAGATTCTGCCTGCTGATTTTGCACCTCGCTACCATCATGTTGCAGACCAATGCCTGTCTCGGATGTAGATTCTGATCCTGATACTATACATATCTGCCTGGCTATTACCAAACTCTGCTTGTGACCCAACCCCTCACTTCTGCTCATCCAACCTCAGCATCTCCAAGTTCAAGTTTGCTGAACCTGCATTCTTCTGCTGCCCTAGCAGTTCCTTTCTTTTACCACCAAGGGTGCTTGGATAGGAATTGTGCAAGAGGCCAACCTCGTTATCTTGAGCTCCACTAACAGGTAGGTGAGGACCTGTCTCTGTATCTTCATGTTTATCGGTTCCTCTGTGAAGGATGAGTTTTTAGGTTCCAATAGACATTTAGAGAAGAGTAGCTGCTTTGACACCTGTCTCCTTATGTTGTTTGTTGGCTTCACTATGAAGAATGGGTTAGGTGTCTTAAGACATTCAGAGAAGAGAAGAAGACATCTGTTTCCATATGTTCATGTTTGTTGGTTTCTCTCTGAAGAACAATTTGAGGGTCCAAGAAGCATTCAGAGAAGAGCAGAAGCAGAGGAGCAGTAGCTGCTTTGACGACTGTCTCCCTATGGTATCTATCAGGTATCTATGCAGATCTCCCCATCCTATAATGCTTGAGACTCAATGATGGCTTCAGAGAAGAACAGAAGCGGACACCTGTTTCCCTATATTCATGTTAATAGGTTCCTCTGTGAAGAACTGGTTGAGAGTCCAAGAGACAAGTGAAGAACAGGTTGAGCGTCAAATAGACATTCAGAGAAGAGAAGAAGACATCTGTTTCCATATGTTCAAGTTTGTTGGTTTCTCTCTGAAGAACAATTTGAGGGTCCAAGAAGCATTCAGAGAAGAGCAGAAGCGGAGGAGCAGTAGCTGCTTTGTCAGCTGTCTCCCTTTAGTATCTGTCAGTCTGCAAGTCTACTCCTCCCATAATGCTTGAGGCTCAATGACGCTGTAGGAGGAAAGAAGAACAGAAGTAGACACCTGTCTCCCTATGTTTAGGATTATTGGTTTACCTCTGAAAAATGAGTAGAGGGCCCAATAGACATTCAGGGAAAAGAAGAACCAGACACCTGTTTCCCTATCTTCATGTCCAGGGGTGGCCTGACCATTTGGAAACTCAGGCACTGCCCGAGGGCCTGGGGTCAGTAGGGGGCCCCATGAGATGCCCCTGGTACCTTTTTTTTATAGGCTTTTTTGAGTTTGGGCAAGGACACAGGGGCCCCATGATCCCCTATTGCCCGGGGGCCCCATGAGTTGTCAGTCCGCCCCTGTTCATGTCTATTGGTTCCTTTCTGAAGAACAGGTTGAAGGTCCATGAAATGTTTGGAGAAGGGCAGAAGAAGAGGAGGAGCAGCCCCTGGACATTATGTTCATGTTTATTGGTTTCTCTGTGAAGAATGGGTTGAGGGACCAATAGACATTCAGAGAAGAGCAGAAGCAGAGGAGGAGTAGCTGCTTTGACGACTGTCTCCCTATGGTATCTATCAATCTGCAGATCTCCCCATCCTATAATGCTTGAGACTCAATGATGGCTTCAGAGAAGAACAGAAGCGGACACCTGTTTCCCTATATTCATGTTAATAGGTTCCTCTGTGAAGAACTGGTTGAGAGTCCAAGAGACAAGTGAAGAACAGGTTGAGCATCAAATAGACATTCAGAGAAGAGCCGAAGCAGAGGATTAGTTGCTTTGACAACTGTTTCCCTATAGTATCTATCAATCTGCAGCTCTCTCCATCCTATAATGCTTGAGGCTCAAGGATGACTTCAGAGAAAAGAAGAGAAGCAGACACCTGTCCCCTGTGTTCATGTTAATTGGCTCCTCTGTGAAGAATGGGTTGAGGGTCCAATAGCCATTCAGAAGAGAAGTAGAGAAGGATCTGCTTTGACGACTGTCTCCCTTTTTAGTATCTATCAATCTGAAGATCTCCCCATCCCATAATGCTTGAAGCTCAATGACGGCATCAGAAAAAAGAACTGAAGCAGACACCTGTCCCCGTATGTCCATGGTAATTGGTTCCTATGTGAAGAATGGGTTGAGGGTTCAATAAACATTTAGAGAAGATAAGAGCCGAAGCAGAGGAGGAGCAGCTGTTTTGACGATGCTTTTTTGATACCTGTCTCCTTTTATAGTATCTATCAATCTGCTGATTTCTCCATCCCATAATACTTGAAGCCCAATGATGGCGTCAGAGAAAACAACCACTAAAGCAGACGCCTGTCTCCCTCTGTTCATGTTAATTGGATCCTCCTGTAAAGAATGGGTTGAGGGTCTAAAAGACAATTCGAGAAGATAAGAGCAGAAGCAGAGGAGCAGTAGCTGCTTTGACAATACTTTTTTGAGAATATTTTTTGATACCCGTCTCCTTTTTATAGTATCTATCAGTCTGCAGATCTCCCCATCCCATAATGCTTGAAGCTTAATGATGGCGTCAGAGAAAAGAACCACTGAAGCAGGCACCTGTCTTCTTCTGTTCATGTTAATTGGATCCTCCTGTAAAGAATGGATTGAGGGTCCAAAAGACGTGAAGAATGGGTTGAGGGTCTAAAAAGACGTGAAGAATGGGTTGAGGGTCCAAAAGACATGTGAAGAATGGGTTGAGGGTCTAAAAAGACGTGAAGAATGGGTTGAGGGTCCACTAGACATTTAGAGAAGATAAGTGCAGAAGTAGAGGAGGAGTAGCTGCTTTTGACTATGCTTTTTTAAGAAGCTTTTTTGATACCTGCCTCCTTTTATAGTATCTATCAATCTGCAGATCTCTGCATAATACTTGAAGCCCAACGATGGCGTCAGAGAAAAGAACCACTGAAGCAGACACCAGTCTCCCTCTGTTCATGTTAATTGGATCCTCTGTAAAGAATGCATTGAGGGTCCAAAAGACATGTGAAGAACGGGTTGAGGGTCTAAAAGACGTGAAGAACGGGTGGAGGGTCTACAAGACGCGAAGAACGGGTGGAGGGTCTACAAGACGCGAAGAACGGGTGGAGGGTCTACAAGACGCGAAGAACGGGGTGGAGGGTCTACAAGACGCGAAGAACGGGTGGAGGGTCTACAAGACGCGAAGAACGGGTGGAGGGTCTACAAGACGCGAAGAACGGGTGGAGGGTCTACAAGACGCGAAGAACGGGTGGAGGGTCTACAAGACGCGAAGAACGGGTGGGGGTCTACAAGTCTACAAGACGCGAAGAACGCGAAAACGGGTGGAGGGTCTACAAGACGCGAAGAAACGGTGGAGGGTCTACAAGACGCGAAGAACGGGTGGAGGGTCTACAAGACGCGAAGAACGGGTCGAGGGTCCAATATCCATTTTAAAGAAGAGCAGAAGCATATGAGGAAAAGCTTGTTTGACACCTGTCTCCCTATGTTCATGTTAATTGGTTTCTCTGTGAAGAATGTGTTGATGGTCCAATAGGTATTTGGAGGAGAGGAGAAGATACCCATCTCCCTTTAGTATCTCTCATTCTGAAGATATCTCCATCCCCTAATGCTTGAGGCTCCAAGATGGCATCATACTAGCCCTATCTTCTCCAATAATACCGACTACATGACCACAATCTTCCAAAGTCATTTTGGTAACAGAGATAACTTGTGTGTTGTTGTTGTTGTTGTTGTTGTTGTTGTTGTTTTTTTGTTTTTGTGGTTTTACTCTCGAAATTTTTGGATTTACCAATTATTGGAACCTTTTTCAGACTGGCAATGATAGTTGCCAAAAAAAACCCCTTTCCATTCATCACCATGGCAACTCATGGATAAACTTATTCAGGAATTTGGAGTACCAGTCTTTTGGATAGAGGTGGGGCCCCAAAACATTTTCCTGATGACTGTAAATGTTCTGCTGTCATCACATTGCAAATCTCTGATGCTTCTGTTCTTCCTGCAAGGAGCAAATAATGGAGGTAAATCTGAAGGTGTAAATCCGTATCTCCTAATCCTGGCCCTGAATCCCAGCACCGCGGATAACCCATGCATGAACCATTAGGGCCCCAGCAGGGTCTGCCTACGGGTGGCCTGGTGCAGCAGAGTGCAAGAGATCGGTCGGTAAATCTCTCCTCTTCTTACTCCTGTTGGAAAGCTGCTGTAGATATGACTCTTACCATTCAAGATGGTGTAGGACACGGGTGTCAAACTGGCGGCCCTCCAGCTGTTGCCAAACTACAAGTCCCATGAGGCATTGCAAGATTGACAGTTACAAGTGCGACTCCCAAAGGCAGAGGCATGATGGGACTTGTAGTTTCACAACAGCTGGAGGGCCACCAGTTTGACACCCCTGGTGTAGGACATACAGCTGAACCTTTCTTATTTAATTACAAAAACACACAGACAGGAAATGACATCACAACCATGTAGTTCTACTAGAAATGGTGCAATAATTTTCATGTGCTACCTAGTGGCAGAATTAATAATCGCAGCATAATATATGAGAGAGGTTGTTGGACCTAGGTCTGTATAAACCTCATGCAAACGACCAACCTTGGCATTGGAGGAGAGGGAGGTAGGGAAGGAGGTACGTGTTGTGAAGTATCCTATTGGAGGGGCCCAAACAGGTAGGTTGTATGGGGAGCCGTGATTTCTACTGGAGGCCCTGTGCACAGGTACATAGAAATGGAAGTGGGACATGAGGACACGTTTGGAAATTTGTTCTCAACCATCTTGGTTTACATGAGCCTTGATTGATGTAACACGCCTTTGATCCGTTCATGTTTCTAGGCAATGCCGACATTGAAATTTTGGGCTCTACATGTCAGTTTGAACACTTCACAGCTAAATAGCCACCCCAGGTTTGATTAAAATTCCCGGCAGAGAATGCGATTATTTCTGGAATTGCTGTGAAGTCATAACGGTGGCTTTCAGCCAATAATCTGCTGTTCTGGAAACCTTTTACAATGTATTGAGCTGTTACCTCCGTTAGGCTGGGCTTGGACAATACAGAAAGGTTGGAGGTGCAAGCAATGACTTTCTTCTTACCAGAAGCATACTGGTCACCTGACCCGGGTATTGGAGGAGGAGGTGGAGCCCTTTGGTCCCAACATTAGGGGCCCTCCTTACAGCATACAACTGGAACTTGTAGTGAGTAGGCCCATCATGCCAACGATATTCCAGCAATATAAATGACCAGAACTCAACCCAATATCATCTCCAAGCATTCACACTTTTTTGGGTCTCTTGAACACGAACATGTTAACTTTTTTTTGTGCCCTCATGCAGGTTTGACTTACAATACAAAATCTGTATTGAAATTCTGGAGGCTATGGATGGGGCTGGGTGTCATTATTTAAGATCTTGGAGGGGGCTATTGGGCTCTGCAGCAGACTTGGTGGCCCTGTATTGGACCAGGTTTCTGAAGGGGGCTTGGGGTAGCTATGGGGGCTGGGGGTTTTTGCAGGGGGAATGTGGGAGACTGGGGGGAGCACTGTTGGGACCATGTGGGAGACTGGGGGGCACTGTTATGGCAATGTGGGAGACTGGGGGGCACTGTTGGGTCAATGTGGGAGACTGGGGGGCATCGTTGGTGTCAGGAATGGACTTGCCAATGGTGGTGGGACTCACCTGCCTTGTGGGCTGCAGTACCAAGGCTGGCCAGTGGGTGCTCTCAGCAGCCAGAATCTCACTCCTGCAATCAGGCCATCACCTGAAGCTGATTGCAGGAGGTGTATTTAAGCAGGACCAGGTCTGTGATCAGGGCCTTGGTGTATTGTTTCCCATGAGCCCCTGTACCGTGTATTCTGTGTTCCTGTTCTGCTGACTATCTGACTTGTTGCCGACCCTGCCTGATCCTGACCTCTGCTGACTTCTCCTGCTTGATCCCTGGCTTGCCTGACCATCCTTCTGCCTGATCCTCTGTACCGCACTGCCCGTGAGTTACTGAACCCGGCTTGTGACCCTGACTATTCTCTGCCTGCTCCTCCGGTACCTCGCTGCCTGCACGTTGCTGACCTGGCCTGCCTGACTACGCCAGACGCTACCCAGACGATCCATCCATCCATCCCGCACGGATCTGTCCCTGTTACCAGGTCTGCCAGCCTCTTCACGTCAGGCTTTCCCCCGGTACATACCCTCGGTGGACCCCTCTACCACAGTTGGGTGCACTCAGGGGCCGCGACCTGGTCTCAGTCCTGCGCCAAATCCATCCCTACCATCAGGGGCTCTGGTGAAAAGACAGACTGGGGCTTAGACTCCGCGCCCTGGGGAATCCCATTCTGTGGGTCACTAGAGATCCCACCGGGCGGTGCCTGACAGTACCTAATGGCCTGCCTGACCTTTCCACCTCTCCAGCCCTGACTATGCCTGTGTTCCTACACATTTCTGGTCATACCCAGATCCTTAACAGTTGGGTCAATGTAGGAGACTGGGGGGCACCGATGGGTCAATGTGGGAGACTGAGGGGCACCATTGGGTCAATGTGGGAGACTGGGAGGCACCATTGGGTCAATGTAGGAGACT